CCCTCTCTCTCTGTCTCCCTCTCTCCTTCCCCATCTTTCTCTCCCTCTCTCCTTCCCCCATCTTTCTCTCCCTCTCTCCTTCCCCCATCTCTCTCTCCCTCTTTCTGTCTCCCTCTCTCCTTCCCCCATCTCTCTCTCCCTCTCTCTGTCTCCCTCTCTCCTTCCCCATCTCTCTCTCCCTCTCTCTCTGTCTCCCTCTCTCCTTCCCCATCTCTCTCTCCCTCTCTCCTTATCTCTCTGTCTCCCTCTCTCTCCTCCCCCATCTCTCTCTCCCTCTCTGTCCCTCTCTCCTTCCCCTCTCTCTCCCTCTCCTCCTTCCCCCTCTCTCTCTCCTCTTTCTGTCTCCCTCTCTCTTCCCCATCTCTCTCTCCCCTCCCTCTCCTTCCCCATCTCTCTCTCCCTCTCTCCTTCCCCCATCTCTCTGAGTCTCCCTCTCTCCTTCCCCCATCTCTCTCTCCCTCTCTCTGTCTCCCTCTCTCCTTCCCCATCTCTCTCTCCCTCTCTCTCTGTCTCCCTCTCTCCTTCCCCATCTTTCTCTCCCTCTCTCCTTCCCCCATCTTTCTCTCCCTCTCTCCTTCCCCCATCTCTCTCTCCCTCTTTCTGTCTCCCTCTCTCCTTCCCCCATCTCTCTCTCCCTCTCTCTGTCTCCCTCTCTCCTTCCCCATCTCTCTCTCCCTCTCTCTCTGTCTCCCTCTCTCCTTCCCCATCTTTCTCTCCCTCTCTCCTTCCCCCATCTCTCTCTCCCTCTTTCTGTCTCCCTCTCTCCTTCCCCCATCTCTCTCTCCCTCTCTCTCTGTCTCCCTCTCTCCTTCCCCATCTCTCTCTCCCTCTCTCCTTCCCCCATCTCTCTCTCCCTCTCTCTCTGTCTCCCTCTCTCCTTCCCCCCACTCTCTGTCTTTTCCTCCCCCTCTCCTTCAGTCTCTCTGTCTTCCTCCACCTCCCTCCCTCCCTCCCTCTCTTTGTCCCTTGGTCTCTATCTTTCTCTGCCCTTCTCTCCCTTCTTCCTTCCTTCCCTCCCTCCTTTTCTGTCTCTCACACACTCATACATACATGCACACACACACACAAACACACACACACACACACACACACACAAACACACAATTTTCCATTCTAAAGAAAACAGATAGTTGCTTGAACTACCACATTTTCATTTCTGGGGAACGGACTGACTTTCGTTTCCATCTGTCTTGCTATAGGCTGATGAAAGCATTCAGGTCATGGAGGAGGCATCTCAGCAAAGGACAGAAGAACAATTAAACACTGGATCAGCTTGCCTCCAGGGGTTGCGGGTGCTCCAACACTGGAGATCTTCAAAAATAAAAAATATTGGACAACCATTTGTCTGAAATAGAAAGCAAATGGAAGAGACGATCTCACTCACTGCCACATTAACCTTTCCACCTTTCGCCCCCTTTTTCTCTGTACACCTGCAGGTCACTAAACTCCAACGGGGAGGCCGTTCCTTCTGCCGGGTCTCCTTCTGACCTAGAGCACCCTGGGGTCTCTAGGAAGCCTCGGACAACCTGGCCATCAAGGGAAAAGGCGTCCCTCGGAAGGAGACCTAGTGCGACACGCAAAATACCTTTGCAAAGTAGCTTTTTTTTGCCCTCCTGACAAGCACAAGAATTTCAGGCAACTCAAAAAAAATGTTTATTCAGGGAGGGTGCAGTCTTTCTCTAGGGTGCAAGGATCAGGGATTGGGTATATGTGATATGGGATGATTGTATCAGAAATCAACAAATCTAGCAATAAAAATCTTTGGTATGCAATGAAAGCTTTGTTTTGTTACATGGGAGAAAAGACACACACAAAAACACACACACAAACACACACACACACACACACACACACACACACACACACATACTGTAGGTTGCATTTGCTCCTTTCTACCCGGGTGTGCGTCTTTCTGGACACTTTGCAGTTCAGAAGGCAGCCCTATTGTTTGGTTGATGAAAAGGCTAGTTTGGGCCCATTCAAAGAAATGACTTTGACTCAAAGGAGCAGAAATAGTGTAAACAGAACCCACACCCCAGAATAAAATATTTCCCGGGTCGACTATATAAAGGACTGGAACTGATTACACAGCCTAGGGCCAAATTAGAAAAATAAAAACACCTATAATTACATTTCTGTTAGCCCCCAAAAGCAGCCACAACATCATACACAACAGAAGGAAAACCTATAACAGCAATTAGAGTATTGTGTATAGCCCAAAGAACACTGAAAGAACACATATTCACATAGTGATAATGGAAAACACAGAAACATAGAAAAACTCACTAACAAACCCAATTTGGTAGCTGTCCCCAAGAACCCCCTTGTTGCTGTCGTTGGGAAATAAACACAACCTCCTTTTCATAAGCAGCTTTCCTTGGGTCTTGATTTTCACTCGGCGCTGCTCTTCCAGTTTCAGAGAAAAGAACAGACCTGAACAGATTAGCTTGACAATTTGGCGACCACAAAGGGACTCCAAAGCTAATCGGATCAACTTGGCTCTGTAAGCTTTCACTATGCTGGCGACAGATCCCTTTTCTCTGCAGGTGGGTTTTCCGCACCTTGCCCATTTGGAGAAAAGGGAATAAAGGGAGTTTTGAGTCTTGTGCTCAACAGCCCCTGGGAAAGGAGGTAAGTACCTCCAAATTTTGATATTCTACACCCAGGGCAGTGAGAAAGGTATGTGTATGTCAACAGATGTTTTTGCATTGACAACAGAGGGAAATGTAGCCATCTTTTACCTTTTGCTTTTAGAGTTAGATGATGCTGGGAAGGGGGATGTGAACGAGAGTCCAGCTAGACATAACAACACCAAACCTAGCGTGAGAAACAAGGTTATTGTAACCGGAGCTGATAAGAAATTGGCGGGCTGGAGAACTGGAGAGGAGGCCAGCGCATGGAGAATGTGATTTATGACTCTTAATTGAAGGAGGTGCTTTGATATTATGTGCTCAGGCGAGGGGAATTCAGTTTTCGGCTTCGATTATGCCGTGCCGATATTATGCTACTCAAAATAAAGATTCTTTAAGGTAAACAATGCCTCAAAGTTCTTTGGAAGAGTTTCATCTGTCAGAACCATGACAGTGTGTGTGTGTATGTGTGTGTGTGTGTGTGTGTGTGTGTGTGAGAGAGAGAGAGAGAGAGAGAGAGAGAGAGAGAGAGGAAGAGAAAGAGAGAAAGGGAAAATCCTGTTCTTCTCACCGCAGCAGGATCCTGTTTCTGCGACAGAACCAATTCTCACAAGAGTTGTTTCCTGATCTTCAAAAGAAGGCGTAGGCTAAAAGACTAATAATAAAACCTAAAATTTCATGTAACTCCCATGTTTGATCTCCCAGCCATTCTCACCCTAGAAAGAGGAATGGAACAGGTGGGGGGTGTATGTGAACGGAGAGGTCCTCTCGATCCCCGGGAAGGAAGAGATTCGGAACGCAACTCCGCCTGGGATAAATCAAGTCCCTCAGCTCTGCCCAGGCCCTTGTGAGCAAGGAGGAGCTTCTGCAATGGGGAGGCCTTCGACAGCATCAGCTGAAAGATGTGACACCCTCCTAAGTATTAATCAGATCTGAATGGGGAAGGAGGGCTGTCCTTGTTAACTGAAACTTGGTTTTTGGTCCCACCCAACCTCGGAGTCTTTCTCGGAGTAACTGTCAGGACTACCGTCCTGAGCGTCGGCCTTGCTTTGCCAGATGCCAGCCTGCCATAGACTGTTGGGAGGGGGAAAGCTGCTGGGAAGGGGGGAAACCGAAAGTAATCATTGTGTCTTCCTGAGACATCGTCTCATCGTCTCAAAGCCAGAGACCTGGGAGCGGAATGCAACAGCTCAACATCTAGCCCGTCAATGCAGGGACCGTTACCCAAAGGATTCCTTTGAATCTATTCTATTCTGTTCTGTTCTGTTCTGTTCTAATTTTCTATTCAGAATTCTCCTCTATTCTGTTCTGTTCTATTCTATTCAGTTCTGTTCTGTTCTGAATTCTATTCAATTCTGTATTGTATTGTATTGTATTGTATTCTGTTTTGTTCTGTATTGTGTTGTATTGTATTCTATATTCTGTTCTATTCTATTCTGTTCTGTTCTGTTCTAATTTTCTATTCAGAATTCTCCTCTCTTCTCTTCTATATTCTATTCTAATCTATTCTGTTCTGTTCTATTCCGTATATCCCATCCCATCCCATCCCACCCCATCCCAACCTATTCTATTCTATTCTATTCTATTCTATTCTATTCTATTCTATTCTACTCTACTCTACTCTACTCTACTCTACTCTACTCTACTCTACTCTATTCTATTACATTCCATTCCATTCCATTCCATATTTTCTATTCTATTCTATTCTATTCTATTCTATTCTATTCCATTCCATTCCATATTTTCTATTCTATTCTATTCTATTCTATTCTATTCTATTCTGTTCTGTTCTGTTCTGTTCTGTTCTATTCCATTCCATTCCATTCCATTTCATATTTTCTATTCTATTCTATTCCATTCCATATTTTCTATTCTATTCTATTCTATTCTATTCTATTCTATTCTATTCTATTCTATTCTATTCTATTCTATTCTATTCCATTCCATTCCATTCCATATCTTCTATTCTATTCTATCCTATCCTATCCTATCCTATCCTATCCTATCCTATCCTATCCTATCCTATCCTATCCTATCCTATCCTATCCTATCCTACTCTACTCTACTCTATACTCTACTCTACTCTACTCCACTCCACTCCACTCCACTCCACTCCACTCCACTCCACTCCACTCCATTCTTCTTCCTGCTTGTTTGACAGGTGGCCCCTTCCTCCCCCCGGCCCAGGGGTTTCCCAGACATCTTGTTGGGGTGACACCAGCATTGCTTGCTTGCTCCCTCCCTCCTCCTCATCCTCCCCTATCCTTTCCTGGACCGTGCTCGTCCTGCCCCAGTGGCCTTGCCCAAGTGGCTCCTTAACCATTTGCACCCGCCCAGCCGGGGAGGGGCCACCGGAACACCTCTTAGCAGCCACTTTGAGCGAGGCCTCCACCTTCCTTCAGAGCTCCAGGAAGCAACGCAAGGATCCACTCGACATCACCACCAGCTTGTAAGTGGGAAGCCCAGGGAGGGGGGCTCGGGCGGAACGCACGCCAGAAATGTCGCTTCCCAATCTGTGTTTACGATTTCATTCAGGTGTTTATATTGCTTTATTATTATGGTGTTGCAAACGGCCCAGAGCTGCCTTGGTGAGTTGGGTGCCTTGGAAATTTATATATATATATAAAGAGTTCGAAATAGCTATTCCAGTTCTCCTTTAATTCTTTGCTAGCAATCCAAATTTTAGAAATATATACAGTGTCGCAGTTATGACTGACATGCCTGTGGATGACTCTAGTTTGAGCTGGTACAAGGCAAAAGATTTCTTTCTCCCATATTTGGGCCGAGAAGGTGTATCAAATAGCACTCAAGATATATATATATATATATATATATATATATATATATATATATATATATAGATATATATATCTTTCTGAGGTTTTCGCGGGTGTTTGTATGTAGGTCTTTGGTTATTCGGGTTTTCTCCCACGTAAAATTGGAAATGTCTTGGCGACGTTTCGACGAAGTCTCATTCATCATCTTCAGGCTGGTGCTTTTGGCTTCATGCTTCTAGGAGCACGAAGCACGAAGCCGAAAGCACCAGCCTGAAGATGACGAATGAGACTTCGTCGAAACGTCGCCAAGACATTTCCAATTTTACGTGGGAGAAAACCCAAATAACCAAAGACCTACATATATATATATATATATATATATATATATATATATATATATATATATATATATATATATACACACATATATATATATATGTTAAAAAAAGACATAAATAAAATATGGGGAGGTCACACCCTCCTCTTTGTTCGAGAGGGGGCCGAAAATTCAAATATAGAAAGGAAGCGGAGAGAGTCTGGGCTGGAATCTGCGGTTCACCGAAGGCTTGTCTGAATGCTGCTCCTGAGGTCAGGACAAGAAGCAACGGAGGGAAAATCATCAAGGAGAGAAGCAACCTGGAACTAAGGAGGGAGAACAGTTACCCTGTGGAACTGCTTGCCACCAGAACTTGTGGGTGCTCCATCACTGGACGCTTTCAAGGAGATGGGAGAGCCACCTGTCTGAAATGGTACAGTGGTCCCCTCCATGAGCAGGGGGTTGGAGTAGATGACCTTCAGGGTCCCTTCCAACTTTGTCCTTCTATGATTCTGTAAGGGTCTCCCGCTCGAGCTGGGCGGTTGGTCTAGAAGACCTCCGGGGTCCTTTCCAGCTCTGTCCTTCAAGGATTCCGTAAGGGTCTCCAGGTGGAGCAGGGGGTTGGTCTAGAAGACCTCCAAGATCCCTTCCAGCTCTATTCCAGTCTAAATCCCTTCTAGTCCCGATATTGTTCCCTAGCTGGGTCAGGAGACGTCTGCAAGACAACCCCCCAGCTTAGGGACCCCCCCCCAGGGTCCCCCACTTCAACCCCCAACCACAAAGTGTCTCTTCTGAAAAATGCAGACTAACAAGTCTGTAAAAGAATGACTTTTAATGCGTGTCCGAGATGGCTGGCGAAGCGCCCACCTTTTTCTGCCCCTTCCCCAAAGAACGAACGAGAGGATTTCCAAGTGGGGGGGCAGTGTGAAACCTTTAAGGCTGTGTTTGTGGGAGAGCCTCAGGGGGCCCCGACGTACGGATTTGTGCCCACCCGTTTAAGCCTTCCCGATGCTGGCCACAGATCCCTTTTCTCTCTGCGGGTGGGTTCTCCGCCCCTTGCCCATTTGGAGCAAAGGGAGCAAAGGGTGTTTTTGAGTCTTGGGCTCCACAACCCCTGTGAAAAGAGGTAGGTACCTCCAAATTCTGATATTCTACACCCAGGGAAATGAGAGGGGTGTGTGTGTGTGAGAGAGAGAGAGAGAGAGAGGGAGGGGGAGAGAGAGAGAGCAGAATAGAACAGAATAGAATAGAATAGAATAATAAAATACAGAATAGAATAATAAAATGCAGAATAGAATAGAATAGAATAGAATAGAATAGAATGGAATGGAATGGAATGGAATGGAATGGAATGGAATGGAATGGGACGGGACGGAACGGGACGGGACGGGAAGGGAAGGGAAGGGATGGGATAGAATAAAAAATGCAGAATAGAATAGAATAGAATAGAATAGAATAGAATAGAATAGAATAGGATGGGATGGGATGGGATGGGATGGGATGGGATGGGATGGGATGGGATGGGATGGGATGGGATGGGATGGGATGGGATGGAACGGAACAGTGGTTCTCAACGTTTGTGTGATGGCGACCCCCGTCACACAAACGTACCGCCCCCATGTGCGGCGTGCATGTGTGCCACCGCCCCCTGAGGGGGAAAAATGGCGGATCGCCTTTTTTGGCGACCCCCGTAAAATGGTCGATCGACCCCAAATGGGGTCACGACCCATAGGTTGAGAACCGCTGGAATAGAATAAAAAATGCAGAATAGGATAGGATAGGATAGGATAGGATAGAAGCTGGAAGGGACTTTGGAGGTCTTCTAGTCCAGTCCCCTGCTGAAGAAGGAGACCCTATCCCAGGGGTAGGCAACCTTGGCTCTTTTATGACCCATGGACTTCAACTCCCAGAATTCCTGAGCCAGCTATGCTCAGGAATTCTGGGAGTTGAAGTCCATGGGTCATAAAAGAGCCAAGGTTGCCTACCCCTGTTCTATACCATGAACAAATGTATGTGTATTGGTGGGGTAACCTCATGGGGCTGACATACACATTTGTTCTCCCCAAATAGACCAACGGGAATATTCATTGTTTATTTTTCTGTCTTATCTTGCATCCTGTTTGGCTACTTCCTTGTGCTAATATTTGCCACAGCTGGAGAGCTCCTTAAACCCCCAGGCCTTTTTCTTTAGAACTTCTAGGGCATATGAGTAATTCTGTCTGGGCCATTTTCATCTCTTTATTAATGAGTTACTCAATAACCAAGACACAGGAATAACAGCCAGAGCTTCCTTAGAGGTTCCCAGGAAGAAAATGGAGAATATCAAATGGTGGATCCCACCCAATTCTAGCACTTAGAGCGACTCTTAACGATACGAGTTTGACTGTTGAGTACTCTGTAAATAAACTAAAAGGGGAGATTTGAGCGTGAAGCAGTGACTGTCCCAAAATTAAGGGGCATGCCTTCTCCGTGGCTCATTTTCCTCGGAAGATGCCCCATGGAGAGGAGCCCAATGAAAGAATGACAGAATAAGAGAGTTGGAAGGGACCCCCGGAGGTCTTCTAGTCCAACCCCTTGATCAAGCAGGGGAGCCTTACAGAAGGTTAGAATGACACAGTTGGAAGGGACCGTGGAGATCTTCTCCAACCCTCTGCTCAGGCTAGAACGCTAGAATGACAGAGTTGGAAGGGACCGTGGAGATCTTCTCGTCCAACCCCCTGCTCAGGCAGGAGACTCTTACAAAACGCTAGAACGACAGAGTTGGAAGGGACCTCAGAGGTCATCTAGTCCAACCCCTGCTCAAGCAGGAGGTCTTTATAAAATCATAAGAGTTGGAAGGGATCTTGGAGGTCATCTAGTCCAACCCCTTGCTCAAGCAGGAGACCCTTACAGAATGATAGAATGACAGAGTTGGAAGGGACCTCAGAGGTCATCTAGTCCAACCCCTGCTCAAGCAGGAGGTCTTTATAAAATCATAGAGTTGGAAGGGACCGTGGAGATCTTCTCATCCAACCCCCTGCTCAGGCAGGAGACCCTTACAAAACGCTAGAACGACAGAGTTGGAAGGGACCTCAGAGGTCATCTAGTCCAACCCCTGCTCAAGCAGGAGGTCTTTATAAAATCATAGAGTTGGAAGGGACCTTGGAGGTCATCTAGTCCAACCCCTTGCTCAAGCAGGAGACCCTTACAAAACGCTAGAACGACAGAGTTGGAAGGGACCTCAGAGGTCATCTAGTCCAACCCCTGCTCAAGCAGGAGGTCTTTATAAAATCATAGAGTTGGAAGGGACCGTGGAGATCTTCTCATCCAACCCCCTGCTCAGGCAGGAGACCTTACAAAACGCTAGAACGACAGAGTTGGAAGGGACCTCAGAGGTCATCTAGTCCAACCCCTGCTCAAGCAGGAGGTCTTTATAAAATCATAGAGTTGGAAGGGACCTTGGAGGTCATCTAGTCCAACCCCTTGCTCAAGCAGGAGACCCTTACAAACGCTAGAACGACAGAGTTGGAAGGGACCTCAGAGGTCATCTAGTCCAACCCCTGCTCAAGCAGGAGGTCTTTATAAAATCATAGAGTTGGAAGGGACCTTGGAGGTCATCTAGTCCAACCCCTTGCTCAAGCAGGAGACCCGTACAGAATGATAGAATGATAGAGTTGGAAGGGACCTCAGAGGTCATCTAGTCCAACCCCTGCTCAAGCAGGAGGTCTTTATAAAATCATAGAGTTGGAAGGGACCGTGGAGATCTTCTAGTCCAACCCCTTGCTCAAGCAGGAGACCCTTACACAACGCTAGAACGACAGAGTTGGAAGGGACCTCAGAGGTCATCTAGTCCAACCCCTGCTCAAGCAGGAGGTCTTTATAAAATCATAGAGTTGGAAAGGAGACTCATCCAACCCCCTGCTCAGGCAGGAGACTCTTACAAAACGCTAGAACGACAGAGTTGGAAGGGACCTCAGAGGTCATCTAGTCCAACCCCTGCTCAAGCAGGAGGTCTTTATAAAATCATAGAGTTGGAAGGGACCTTGGAGGTCATCTAGTCCAACCCCTTGCTCAAGCAGGAGACCCTTACAGAATGATAGAATGACAGAGTTGGAAGGGACCTCAGAGGTCATCTAGTCCAACCCCTGCTCAAGCAGGAGGTCTTTATAAAATCATAGAGTTGGAAGGGACCGTGGAGATCTTCTAGTCCAACCCCCTGCTCAGGCAGGAGACCCTTACAAAACGCTAGAACGACAGAGTTGGAAGGGACCTCAGAGGTCATCTAGTCCAACCCCTGCTCAAGCAGGAGGTCTTTATAAAATCATAGAGTTGGAAGGGACCTTGGAGGTCATCTAGTCCAACCCCTTGCTCAAGCAGGAGACCCTTACAGAATGATAGAATGACAGAGTTGGAAGGGACCTCAGAGGTCATCTAGTCCAACCCCTGCTCAAGCAGGAGGTCTTTATAAAATCATAGAGTTGGAAGGGACCGTGGAGATCTTCTCATCCAACCCCCTGCTCAGGCAGGAGACCCTTACAAAACGCTAGAACGACAGAGTTGGAAGGGACCTCAGAGGTCATCTAGTCCAACCCCTGCTCAAGCAGGAGGTCTAAAATCATAGAGTTGGAAAAATCATAAGAGTTGGAAGGGATCTTGGAGGTCATCTAGTCCAACCCCTTGCTCAAGCAGGAGACCCTTACAGAATGATAGAATGATAGAGTTGGAAGGGACCTCAGAGGTCATCTAGTCCAACCCCTGCTCAAGCAGGAGGTCTTTATAAAATCATAGAGTTGGAAGGGACCGTGGAGATCTTCTCGTCCAACCCGCTGCTCAGGCCGGAGACCCGATGCCATTTCAGACAGGGGGCTGTCCAGAGATGGGAGCACCTACCACTTCCGGTGGCAATCAGTTCCGCTGGTTAATTGTCCTCTCCGTCGGGAAACTCCGCCTTAATTCCAGGTGGCTTGATGGGTTTCCATCCGTTGCTTCCTGTCCTGCCTTCCAGTCCTTTGGACAATAGGGTGACCCCCTTTTCTTCATAGGAGCCCCTCCAACACTGGATGATGGCTGTCATGTCACCCCCAGTCCTTTTTTTCCCTCAGACCATCCCTTTTGAAATCCTTCAACCCTCCTTCGTATGTTTTAGTCTCCAGGCCTTTAATCCTCTTACTTGCTCTCCTTTGCACTTTTACTCAAAGTCTCAACCTCTCTTTTTTTTGTAATGTGGGGACCAAAACTGGACGAAAGATTCCAGGTGTGGCCTTACTCAGGCTTTATAAAGCGCTACTAATATTTCACTTGACTCTGATTCTATGCCTGTTTATAGAACCGAGGATTGTGTTAGCTTTTAATAGAACCGAGGATTGTGTTAGATTTTTGTTAGCTGCTCTACATGGCTGGCTCCTGGTCGAGGGATCATGAATCAGGATTCCAAGATCCAATTCACCGTGATTGTTTTTGAGTCAGGTTTCACCTAATCTGCATTTGAACCTTTGGGTTCTTCCCTTGCTTTTCTCCACCCTCGATTTCAACCTGTGGAACTGCTTGCCACCAGAACTTGTGGCTGCTCCATCGCTGGAGGCTTTCAAGGAGACTGGACCTGTCTGAAATGGTATAGGGTCTCCGCCTTGAGCAGGGGGTTGGAGTAGATGACCTCCAGGGTCCCTTCCAACTCTGTTATTCTGTGATTCTGTCAGGGTCTCCTGCTCGAGCAGGGGGTTGGAGTAGATGACCTTCGAGATCCCTTCCAACTCTGTTATTCTCTGATTCTGTCAGGGTCTCCTGCTCGAGCAGGGGGTTGGACTAGATGACCTTTGAGGTCCCTTCCAACTCTGTTATTCTGTGATTCTGTCAGGGTCTCCTGCTCGAGCGGGGGGTTGGACTAGATGACCTCCGAGGTCCCTTCCAACTCTGTCATTCTGTGATTCTGTCAGGGTCTCCTGCTCGAGCGGGGGGTTGGACTAGATGACCTCCGAGGTCCCTTCCAACTCTGTCATTCTGTGATTCTGTCAGGGTCTCCTGCTCGAGCAGGGGGTTGGACTAGATGACCTCTAGAGTCCCTTCCCACTCTGCCATTCTGTGATTCTGTCAGCGTCTCCTGCTCGAGCAGGGGGTTGGACTAGATGACCTCCGGGGTCCCTTTCAACTCTGTCATTCTGTGATTCTGTCAGGGTCTCCTGCTCGAGCAGGGGGTTGGACTAGAAGACCTCTGGGGTCCCTTCCAGCTTTTTGATTCTGTGATTCTGTAATTCTGTGATTCTGTGATTCTCCGTCTTGACCCTTAAATTGTTGGATGTTTTATGAAGGCCATGGGTGGGTTTCATGCACAACTTGGTTCCTCCTTGTTTTATCATTTCTCAGGAGTCAGCATGAAGATCCCGACCGTCCGGACGGTCCAGGTCTTGTGCCTGATCGGATTCTTCACCGGACCTTTGCAGGTACAAAGGGGGCAGCTTCAGCCGCGGGAGCGTCCACCTCTTCGACTGGGGAGGGCACAGTCCTCCCCTCTCCGCTCGACAAAAAAAGCCACTTCCTGTTGTTGAAATCTTGATTGTGTCTTAAAAAAAAAAAGAAGTTCTGCTTTCTTGGGAGATCGGGTTGAGGCAGGTCCCTGTCGAGGGCGAAGGAGAAAACCTGCTCTGTGGGGGCACCGTGAGGCCATCTAAACCTGGCCGAGGGCAGGGAGCAGGGTCCCTCCAGACAGAGCCACAGAGATCACGAGGTTCCCCCACCTTGGCGCCTTCTCCCGTTGGGTCAGAACCGGACTTAGTTTTTTCTCTGAAGCTGTCTCACTTCACATCCAAGAAGCTTCTTCAGTTCGGACTGAATGGCGGGGAAGGAAAGGATATATTTTCTCCAACAGTCCTCTGGTCGTTAGTACTCTCTCTGAGAGTCGTGGAGGTCACTTGAGGCCTCCTGAGCTTTTCCGAGATTCCCGCGACATGTGGAATGGCAGCATTGCTTCATTGGTTATTGTTAATGTTGTTATTGTTGTTGTTGTTAACCAGTGATGGATTCGGCCGGTTCGGCAGAACCGGGAGCTAATTTTTTTGTTGCCCAGACCCAGAAAGGACTTCCGGAAGTGGCATCCCCACAGAGAACCGGTTGTTCCCATCTTTGAACCCCACGACTGTTGTTCACATTGTAATTCCATACGTTATGGCAGGGGTTCTCAACCTTTTCAATGCCGCGACCCCCAACCGGTCGTAAGTCGAGGACGACTCAACCGGTTGTAAGTCGAGGACGACTCAACTGGTGCAGCACCATTTGCAGACTGGGACTTTTGGAGGGGCAAAGACAGCCTGGACAATTCCTATTGGCTTTGGAAAGCCAATAGAATGAGACTCTGTTCAAGAGAGTCTCTTCTATTGGCTTTCGAAAGCCACTAGAATGAAAGGGAGTAGCACAGCTAAGGAAAAGGGGGGGGAAAAATGGCGGACGGCGTTGTTTGGCAACCCCTGTGAAATGGTTGTTTGACCCCAAATGGGGTCCCGACCTACAGGTTGAGAACCACTGCGTTATGGGAATATCCGTAAAGCTCAGGGGGATTGGGAGCACATGGAGGAACGTAAACAATTTCGTTCGAGACCCGAGCACCACAAGCGGGGGCAAGCTCCCATCCTCAGCTCAGCTCCTAACAACCTAGCAGTTTGAAAGCACGCAAATGCGAGTCGGTAAATCGGTACCGCTTCGGTAGGAAGGTGACAGCGCTCCGTGACTTCACGCTGCCCATATGACCACGGAAATGTCTTCGGACAGCACGGGCTCAAGGGCCTGGAAATGGAGATGAGCAGCGTCCCCTAGCGTTGGCAAAGAAGAGCGGAGTAAAATCCCACAGGGACTCCATGCTCACTGTGCTCTTTTTTTTAAAGACATTTTATTGGTTTTTTTTAAAATTCTTAAACAAGAATTTAAGACCCACCGTGATGGTTGGGTGGTCAAACATTCAAAAGTGAAAATATATATAAACAACGCAACTCAATAAATTTCGCTATCCCCTCTCTATTCCCCTCAATTAACAGAATACATTTAAATATTCCATTTCTATTTTAAATTTCTATCACTATTAAACCCGTATTATAACTTTATCAGTTTACAATTACAATAGTTTAAATTTAAAACAAAAAATTATCGATTCTAATTCTTAATCTCTCACATCCCTCATTGTATCACCGAATATATTTATTTCTTCTTCCACTATACAATTGATATCTTAATAGCAATAAAATATTGATCAGCCCTATATATATATGTAATCCCAAAGTCAATCCATCTTTTAAAATAACAAAATAATACTAAACCTTGATTCATCCATATTCATTAAACAAAGTTCAAATTTTCTCCAACTTATCATGCCTTATCATGTCTTTGTTGTCATACAAGAAATCCATCCTAGTAATTTAAAACATTCCATAAATTATTAAAAGCATCCCAATCTAAGCAATCATCATTTTTTCAATTCCAGTAAATAATAAATTTCATATATTTCCCAAACGCTACATAATTACAATCCAATACATTCTTAATCTGTTTAAAATATCTATTCTCATAATCACGCTCCTGAATGTATATATACTTAGTTGCTTCTAACTCTGAATCTTAATCCTTAAAACAATCCATAAATCCAGTATTGCCTTTTATTCCATTACACAATTTTAAATTTCTCTTTTAAGTCTAATTCTAGGTTTTTTCATGTACTAGGAAGGTTTCCATAAACCCACTTCCCTTTCAATCCATAAGTCTATTTTTGTTGCTTGAAGAAATAAAAGTCCCATCCTCTGCATCAGACGTCTGTTTTTCTGCTCTTTAAAATATTGTTGCTTTATCATTTCAAATCTCAGTCTTTGCTTCTTCTGTTCCTCAATGTTACAGATGAAAGGCTTGTATGGTAAAATAGGCTCCTCTTTTATCTCAGTTGATTCCTCTTTTAATATAATTTGTTTTGTAGAATAGTCAAGTGTAGTCTGGTCATCCATTTGCATGTTTGAAGTAAAGTTTCTAGATCTTAGTTCTGAAGTGGATTCTTTCAGTTTGGTACAAATTTCTGTAGTGGCCTCGTGTATCTTTTCCAATATAAGCTTATAATTTAATTCTGAATGCAAATTCTCCATTTTGATAGTAGTTAGTAATAGATATTTTTGTTTTGTTTATTTGTTTTGTTTGTGGAGGCTGTATTTGGTAAGAGTTAATCCATATCCACCCCCACAATTCCCACAACTCAGTTTATCTTTTTCAAAAAAAAAATTGAAGGTCAGGTCTGGTTTTACTTCAAAGAAATAACCAGAAGATGCAATATTATGTTTTTGCCACTAGATGTCCTCAGTAAGTTAAAGAAGAATCTTTTCCAGACAGCATTGCTTTGTTTCTATCTTTAAAAGTATAGTGTGAAAGAAGAAATAATCTTCCAACACCAAATAATAATACAGTCCTTAGCAGAACAAAAAAGAGAGAGATTCCTGTATCCCAAAAAATATGAAAATAATTTTTAATCTTATGAAATGCTCTCTTTCCCAAAAATATCAAAGCTGCTTTCTCTAGCCAGGGAAATAATTCCAACGAGGCTCTTACAGGCAGAAAACAAAGTCAAGTAGAGAGAGTAACAAGGAAAAATCTCACCCGGATTCCCCACAGGGGCTCTTAACGCTTAGATGTTCTTGACTTGTGGTCTGAAGCAGCAGGGTGATCAGCCATTTTACTGGCCAATCTTCTTCGTCGGCCCTCAGAGATCGCCCGGACAGCTGGAGGAGCAACCGCTCCTCCGTAGCTGAGCCGAAGCCTCTTCAACGGAAGTCACACCCTCCAAGGCGACTTTCGACCCATATAAGAGTCAACCAGCGGAGGGAAGGCTAGCCGTCGAGGAGACAAGTCTCCCCGTGCAACTAGAGTCACCGCAAACCAGAACCGGAAGTCCTCCCTGTGCTCTTTTGGGGGTTGAAGAAGGCACCTGGGCCAGCCTGGTTTCACCCAGCATTGGCCTCTTTTCTTTCCTTTGTGTTCGTCCCCACCTTCTCTTTTACCGCACAGGTGTTATGTCTCAAAAAGATTCCCCTCGACATGTCCAAGAATTCCGTGGATGACCAGTATATTAACTGCCACCCCAAGAAGGAGTTCAAGGTGGAGAAGCCAGGATACCTTCCCATCCCGATGAAATATATGTCGATCTGGAATGCAGCCAGAGGCTACTGGGCCAAACTTGGACCAAGTGTCAGCAAAATCAAACCAATCTACGGCACTGCAGTTGTGGCTTACACAATGGGCGGGGGCCTGTACCGTGATTTCAACAACGCCGTCCGCGATGCCGGGAAATCCAAATACTCTTACAATCATTTTGTCTTCAAAGACTTTTTCTTCCTCCTAACCAAGTTTGTTCAGGCCAGGAAAATCACGGGCAAATGCTATGAGGTCTTCCGCGGGGTAAGTGGGATCCATTTCAAAGTCCACTCGAAACAGCTTGTCCGCTTCGGGCAGTTCGCTTCCTCGTCTTTGGTCAAAGAGAAGGCCGAAAGCTTTGGCCAGGACACCTTCTTCTCCATCAAGACCTATCACGGAGTGCCCATTTACGATCTCTCGTACTACCCGCACGAATGGGAAGTTCTCATCCCGCCGTACGAGATGTTTATTGTGACCCACCAGCAGAAGACCCTAAAGGGGGTCACCATCAGATTGAAGTCCCAAGGTGTTTCCAGCCGCTTCAACTGTGAGGCCCTGAAAGGTAAGAGGCTAGAAGAGTGGAGAACATGGGGATCAGAGCATAGCTCCCCAACTGTTCTGGGTTGGTGGCTGGGGGAGGAAGGAGTGGGAGGGAAAGGGGATGGTTGCATGGGAGAGGCAAGTATGTGCATGGACAGTCACGCATGAGCACCCATTGCTCGTGTGACTGGAGCCGAGAGTAGCCATGACGTTCATGCTAGTGAAGCCCCAAGTACTCGCATGAGTGGGGTTGCAAGCACCCACAACACTCACAAGAGTAAGGCCCCCCCGAGTGCTCACAATGCTCACACAAGTAAGGTCCCAAGCACCTGTGACACTCATGCGAATGGGACCCCAAGTGCCCACAACACTCACGTGAGTGGCACCAGGAGCACCCATGATGCTCAAACAAGTGAGCCCATGAGCACCTATGATGCTTGCATGAGTGGGGCTTTACAGGCACACATGCGCATGCCAGCCACTCATGTGGCCCACTTGTGAATAGGTTACAGACCGGTAGTGGGCTGCGGCCCACAGTTTTGGGAGCCCTGGTTCAGATGACCCCGGTAGCACCTCAGCCATTATCTGGGGCTGCTGGAGAACCAAGATAGTCCCAGACATGGACCAAATGTCTACGATGCTCAATCATCCAGGTTGTGATTGTTCTGGATGCAACCATGCTGCGTTTTTCTTGGTTTCCTCGTTCTTCTTTTTTAGTGGTATCGAACGAAAGCATTTAGGTCACAGACGAGGCCTCTCGGCTAAGGATAAAAATGAATGAATAAATAAAAGGAATAAAAATTTTACTTGCTGCCACTTTAACCTTGCCATCCCTCACCTCACTGTTGTCTCCACAGGTGCAGGTCGCTAAACTCCAACGGGGTGGCCGTTCCTTCTGTGGGGTCTCCTTCGGACCTGGAGTACCCTGGGGTCTCCAGGAAGCCTCGAAAAACCTGGCCATCTAGGCAGAAGGCATCCCTCGGAAGGAGACCAAGTGCGACGTGCAAAAAAGCCATTTATTCAAGGAAGGTGCAGTCTTTCTCTAGGGTGCAAGGATCAGGAATTGGGTACAAGTGATATGGGATGATTGTATCAGAAATCAACAAATCAAGCAATAAAAATCTTTGGTGTGCAACAGAAGCTTTGTTTTGTTACATGGAAGGAAAGACAGACACACACACCCCTACTCACCGTAGGTTGCATCTGCTCCTTTTCCACCCGATTTGCATCCTTCTGGACAATTTGCAGCTTTAACTGGGGAATTCTGAAGGCAGCCCTATTGTTTGGTTGATGAAAAGGCTAGTTTGGGCCCACTGAAAGAAATGGCTCTGACTCAAAAGGAAAAAAAATTAGTGTAAATGGAGCCCACTCCCCAGGATAAAATATTAATCCATGGATGATCTCCCAAAAGAGAAGGAACGATAATTCCCTTAGGGATAGGTAGGAAACCTCAGCTGTCTTTCCTCCACCAAGACAGCCCATAGACATCGTTTAGGGAAACTATGTTTCATTCAAAAGATGCAATGTTGCCCATTCATAAAACTGGATTCCCATTCAGAAAATACTGCATAACAAAGCAATCTCTGAAAAGACAGGCTGACTACATAAAGGACTGGAACTGATTATGCAGCCTACGGCCAAACTGGAAAAATAAAAACACCTATACTTACATTTCCCTTAGCCCGAAGGAGCAGCCACAACGTCATACACAACAAAAAGAAACTCTATAATGGCAATTAGAGTATTGTGAAAAGAACAGATATTCATACATCGATAAAAAAAGAACTCAGAAACATATACAAACTCTCTCACCAACAAACACAATTTCCTAGCTGCCCCTAAGAACCGCCTTGTTGCTGTTACTGGGAAACAAAGGGAAGCTCCTTATCATAAGCAGCTTGCCTTGGGTCTTGATTTTCGCTCACCGCTTCTCTCCCAGATCGGGAGAAAGAATGGACCTGAGCCAATTCTCTCAACAATTTGGCGACCACAAAGGGACTCCAATGCTAATCTGATCAACCTGGCCCCGTAAGCCTTCACTATGCTGGCGACAGATTCCTTTAGTCTGTGGGTGGGTTTTTCGGACCTTTCCCATTTGGAGAAAAGGGAGTAAAGGGGTTTTTGAGCCTTGTGTTGAATGGCTGCTGGCAAAAGAGACAAGTACCTCCAAATTTTAATATTCTACACCCAGGGAACTGGGGGCAGTGTGTGTGTGTGTGTGTGTGTGTGTGTGTGTGTGTGTGAGCGAAAGGGAAAATCCTCTTGTTCCACTGCAGCTGGATCCTGTCCCTGTCCCTGCAGTCAATTCACTCAAACAATTCTTTCCTGATCTTCAAAAGGCTTAAAACTTTTTTTTTTTTATTGAATTTTTTCAAAAATTTTACAGATAAACATCCACCCCCCCTCCCAAACCACCCCACCCTCCCCCCCCCCGACTTCCCAGAACTGAATATAGGATTATTTAACAAATTTTAAAAATAACGTATACAATTTATAAAATAATTAATAATAATAGTAAAAATCATAATAATAATATATATAATAATAATATACGTAACATAAGCTTTAAAATGAATAATATATTTAAAAAAAAAGAGAAAAAAAAAGAGGAAAAAGGGAAAGAGAAAAGAGAGAGAGAAAGAAAAAAGAAAGAGGTAGGCGAAAAATAAAACATATATAAAAAAGTATATAAATAATAATACAGAAGAAGAAAGAAAGAGAGAAAGAAAAAAAAACAATCATTACAAGTTATAGAAAAGCTAAATAATATTTTTCCATATCCAAATTATATTGTATAAAATTTATCCATTTTTCCCATACCGCAAAGAATTTCTCTTGAGATTGCTCCTTTAAAAAAGCCGAAATCTTTGCCATTTCTGCCAAATACGAAACTTTATAAAACCATTCTTGTAAAGTAGGCAAGGATTCCTTCTTCCAATATTGTCCTATTAACAGCCTAGCGGCTGTAATCAAATTTAACATCAATATAACCTCCTTAGCATCACAATCAGTAACAATACCTAATAAAAATAATTGCGGAGTGAATTTTACCCTCCTTCTAAAAATTCTCTGAATATTCCACCATATCTTAATCCAAAAAGCTTTTATATGCTTACACGTCCACCAGATATGATAATAAGTAGCATCCAAGTGTCCACATCTCCAGCATTTCGGCTGTAAATTAGAGTACATAATAGACATTTTCTTTGGATCAAGGTGCCATCTATAAAACATCTTATAAAAATTCTCTCTTAAATTTTGCGCTTGTGTGAATTTAACATTTCTTATCCAAATAAGTTCCCAAGTATCCATTGAAATCGATTCACCAATATTCTGTGCCCATTTAATCATACAATCTTTAACTAATTCAGATTCTGAATCCAATTCCACTAAAACCCCATAAACTCTCTTAATATGGGTTGGCCTTTGATCTCTTACTTGTTTTAGGAGAATTTCATCTTCTCTAAGCCAGCCCATTTTACAATCCATCTTCCATCTGTCCACTATTTGTCTATATTGGAACCATGAATAAATTAGATTATCATGTGTTAATTCTTCCAATGATTTTAACTGCCAGTCTTGGCCATCCCATCTAAGTAACTGTGCATAAGAAACCGTATCCATATTAACCCCTTTCCTTATGCCTTCTATGGCATGCCGTGGTATAGCCCATAATGGTATTTTAAAATCACATTTATAATACTTCCTCCACACTCTAAGCAAAGAGATTCTTATAATATGAGACTTAAAAACTCAATCCACTTTTTTATTAAATATTAAATAGGCATGCCATCCAAAAAGTAAATCCCAACCTTCCAAATGAAGTATTTCTATATTTGTTAAATTCACCCAATCGCTGATCAATGTTAGTACTACAGCATCATAAAACAATTTCATATTTGGTACCTTGAGTCCACCTCTCTCACGAAAATCTTGCATTATTTTAAGTTTCACCCTTGGTTTTTTCCCTGCCCAAACAAATTTATTAATACCTTTTTGCCATTCATCTAAATTACGATCACTCTTTAGAATAGGTAACATTTGAAACAGAAAAATAAACTTTGGCAGGACATTCATTTTGATAACTGCAATTCTACCCATAAGGGATAACTGTAAATTATTCCAATTTTTTAAATCCTTCTGTACCTCCGTCCACAACTTTTCATAATTATTTTTATACAGTTTTGCATTGGAAGCAGATAATGTAACCCCCAAATATTTTACCTCATCAACAATTTCAAAGTCTGTTAACTTAACTAGAACCTGTTTATCACCATTAGTCATATTTTTAGCTAATATTTTGGTCTTATTATTATTAATTTTAAAACCAGAAACACGTCCATATTGTTGAATCAATTGTAATAATTTTACCACCGAACAAGTAGGTTGAGACAAAGTAACAACCAAGTCATCTGCAAAGGCTCTTAATTTATATTCTTTTTTATTAATTTCTATTCCTTTTATTTCTTGAGACTCCCGAATTTTAATCAACAAAATTTCCAATGTTAAAACAAACAATAACGGAGATAACGGGCATCCCTGTCTTGTTCCTTTTTCTATTACAAAAGCCTCTGACAAACCCCCATTTACAATAAGTTGAGCAGTCTGTTTTTGATATATATTAGATAATACTTGTAATATATTTTGTCCAAAATTCATCTCCTTAATTAAACATAACATAAACTGCCAATTCACTTGGTCAAAGGCTTTTTCAGCATCCAAAAATATCAGGCCTGCAGAGACTTGGTTATTCTTTTCTAAATACTCTAATAAATTAATGATTTGTCTAACATTATTTTTCATGTACCTTCCAGTTATAAAACCCGATTGATCCTTATGTATAAGCTGCTGCAAAATCCCCATAAGCCTATTGGCTAAAATTTTTGCAAAAATTTTATAATCCACATTTAAAAGGGATATAGGCCTATAATTTTTAGGCAATGTAAGATCTTGATTGTCTTTTGGAATCAATGATATAAATGCATTACGCCAAGATGGAGGGATCTCTAGCCCCTGTAATAAATTATTAAACAATTCACACAATGGTTGAATCATCTCTTCTACTAGAGTTTTATAATAAATAGATGTCAACCCATCCGTACCCGGCGCTTTGCCCAATTTCAATTGTTTAATAGCTGTAACAATTTCTTCCTTAGTAATTAAACCATTAATCTCTTTTTCCTGATCTTCTGTTAATTTAGAAAAATTAACTTTACCTAAATAATTGTTTATATCTGTGATTTGAATATTAATACTCTTGTATAATTTTTGGTAATATTCTAAAAAAGATTTCTTAATCAATTCTTTCTGATAAACCAATTTACCATTATAATTTATTTTGTCTATATTCCTCTGTTTCTGTTTCTTTCTTAACTGATAAGCCAACCATCTCCCTGGTTTATTAGCGTTACAAAATGTATTTTGTTTCATAAATAGTAAATTGGTTGCAGCTTGATCAGCCATCAACATGTTAAATTGTGTTTTTAACAGTTTTATAGCTCCTTTCACCTTTTCATCTAAAGGATTTGAAATTAGGAGTTTCTCTTTTAATTTAATCTCCTCTTCTAAATCTTTACGTTTCTGAATCTGTTTCTGTCTATGCAAGTTATTCATTTTTATCAAAATACCACGCATAAAAGCTTTACTTGCATCCCACACCATTGACATTGATGTTCCCTTATTCATATTTAAAGCAAAATATTCCTTTAAACATTCCTTTAGTTTATGAACATTTTTTCCTTGTTTAAATAAATTCTCATTCACCCTCCAGGATCTCCTATCTTCTTTTTCAGCAAACAGTTCCATCCAAACTGGGCTATGATCAGATAAGCCAAAAGGCTTAAAACTTAAAATTTGATGTAACACCCATGTTACATTTCCTACCCATTTTCACCTCAGAAAGAGGAATGGAGCAGGTGGGGGTGTCTGTGACTGGAGAGGGCTTCTTGATCTCCAGGGGAGGAGGGTTGTCCTTGTTAATGGAAAACTTATTTTTCAGAGAAAAGCAGGACCCCAAAACCTTGTCAGAACTTATTGAATTCTTTGACCAGGCGACAAAATTAGTGGGCCAGAGGAATGCTGCGGATCAAATTTACTTGGACATCAGTAAGGCATTTGACGAAGTAGACCACGACCTACTACGTGAGAAGATAGAAAAAGGTGGGCTAGACAGCATCACCACCAGATGGATTCGGAGCTGGCGGACCGGCCTCTAGAAGTTGTGAATGCTCCAACACTGGAAGTTTTTAAGAAGAGACTGGACAGCCGTTTGAGCAGGGAGTTGGACTAGATGACCTCCAGGGTCCCTTCCAACTTTATTATTATTAATTATTATAATTATAATTATTACAATGGAATATGGAACAGAAAAGAATGGAATATGGAATATGGAATAGAAAAGAATGGAATATGGAATAGAATGAATATGGAATGGAATATGGAATATACACTAAAATAGAATGGATCTGGAATATGACATATGGCATATGGAATAGAATGGATATGGAACGGAATATAGAATGTAGAAAATAAGGATAATAGCAAGGTGATCCAACTGGTCAGTCCTGGAGGAGATCAACCCCGACTGCTCTTTAGAAGGCCAGATCCTGAAGTTGAAACTCAAGTACTTTGGCCACCTAATGAGAAGGAAGGACTCACCCGAGAAGGGCCTAATGCTGGGAAAGATGGAGGGCAAGAGAAGAAGGGGACGACAGAGAATGAGATGGCTGGATGGAGTCACCGAAGCAGGAGGCGTGAGCTTCAATGGACTCCAGAAGATGGTAGAGGACAGGAAGGCCTGGAGGAACGTTGTCCATGGGGTTGCAATGGGTCGGACACGACTTCGCAGCTAAGAACGACAAAACCTACATATGAAAGGAGCAACTCTTCAAAATCCTGTGTCCAACTTACAAGGTTCTGGTGATGCCTTGCGTGACCCTCTTACTCTCTGCAGGATTGTGGTCGCCACGCCACGAATCTTTGACCCCTTAATTCTCCCTAAAACCACAACACAGATGGCTGTCAATTTGGCAATATCAAAGCATCAGTTCCTCCTGGTTTGCGGCAGACCGCAACCTCCCACATGTCCGCGTCCATCTGCTAGTATCGGTTCCTCATTTCCCGCAGCTTCAATCCTTGTCCTCTAATCCTACGGGTGACAGGGGCAAGCCTTCCCAATCCTGCCGGGCGGAGGGCAGATTCAGCTGAAGTTGCAAAGGTTTCCCTTTGCGTTGTGAAAGGGGCCGGAGCGCAAACTTTGATTCCACCCTTTTTCATGAGGTCAAACTTGGATCACCACTCTGCCCGATAGGATTTTGAAAGCTGCCTCTTTCATATGTTGATTTAGAACATTATTATTATCATTATTTTCTACATTATATATTCCATTCCATATCCATTCTATTCCATATTCCATATTCCTTATTCCTTAACCATTCTATTCCATATTAAATATTCCATATTCCATTCTATTCCATATTCCATAGTCATTATCCATTTTATTCCATGTTAAATACTCCTTATTCCATTCTATTCTATTCCATATTCCACATTTCATCCTATCCTATTCCATATTCCTTATCCATTCTATTCCATATTAAATATTCCATATTCCATTCTATCATATTCCATATTCCTTATCCATTCTATTCCATGTTAAATACTCCTTATTACATTCTATCCTATTCCATATTCCATATTCCTTATCTATTCTATTCCATATTAAATATTCCATATTCCATTCTATCCTATTCCATATTCCATATTCCTTATCCATTCTATTCCATATTAAATATTCCATATTCTATTCTATTCTATTCCATATTCCACATTTCATTCTATCCTATTCCGTATTCCTTTTCCATTCTATTCTATATTAAATATTCCATATTCCATTCTATCCTGTTCCATATTCCATATTCCTTATCCATTCTATTCCATGTTAAATACTCCTTATTCCATTCTATCCTATTCCATATTCCATATTCCTTATCTATTCTATTCCATATTAAATATTCCATATTCCATTCTATCCTATTCCATATTCCATATTCCTTATCCATTCTATTCCATATTAAATATTCCATATTCTATTCTATTCTATTCTATTCTATTCTATTCTATTCTATTCCATATTCCACATTTCATTCTATCCTATTCCGTATTCCTTTTCCATTCTATTCTATATTAAATATTCCATATTCCATTCTATCCTGTTCCATATTCCATATTCCTTATCCATTCTATTCCCTATTAAATATTCCTTATTCCATTCTATTTTATTCCGTATTCCACATTTCATTCTATCCTGTTCCATATTCCATATTCCACATTCTGTTCTGTTCCATTCCATATTCCTTTCTATTCTATTTTCCACATTTCATTGCATTCTATTCCAGATTCCAGATTCACTCTATTCCGTATCCCATTGCAGAAGGAAACGTATCTGCTGCAGTTCTCTGAGGCTCAAACCTTGGTGATCCACGTTTGACCTCGTGAACAAGGGTGGAATCAAAGTTTGCGCTCCGGCCCCTTTCACAACGCAAAGGGAAACCTTTGCAACTTCAGCTGAATCTGCCCTCCGCCCGGCAGGATTGGGAAGGGTTGCCCCTGTCACCCGCAGGATTAGAGGACAAGGATTGAAGCTGCGGGAAATGAGGAACCGATACTAGCAGATGGACGCGGACCTGTGGGAGGTTGCGGTCTGCCGCAAAGCAGGAGGAACTGATGCTTTGATATTGCCAAGTTGACAGCCATCTGTGTTGTGGTTTTTAGGGAGAATGAAGGGGTCAAAGGTTGACCTTGGAAAGAGTCGGAGGCCGGTGGCCCCTTGCGTCTCGCGCCCTCCTGGCAATGAGTCCCTGAATGCAAGGGATACATGTCACAATAACACACACCTCGGAATTCTAAAGTGATTGTGTGCTGCCACTTATTTCTATTCTATTCTATTTTTATTTCTATTCTATTTTTAATTGTCTTCCCTTCCCTCCCCTCCTCTTCTCCTCTCCTCTTCTCTTTTCTTCTCTTCTCTCTCTTCATTCCGTTCCATTCCATATTTTCTATTCTATTCTATTCTATTTCCTATTCCTATTCTAGTCTATATTTCTATTCTATTTTATTCTATTCTTAATTCTCTTCTCTCCTCTTCTATTCTATTTTTATTTTTATTCTATTCTATTTTTAATTCTCTTCTCTCTTCTCTATTCTATTCTTATTTCAATTCTGTTCTGTTCTATTCTATTAATTCTCTTCTCTTCTATTTTATTCCAAGCTTTCTATTCCATTCTGTTCCTGTAAGAAACATTCTGTTCCCGGAAGAAAGAAGAAAGGGGGTGGAATTGTGATACTTGAAACTATCACTGGAAGGGGGGTTGATTGGGTGGGACTACTGGGGAACCCTTAAAACCTTGAATGGAAGAGCTTGAACCCCAAGTCCTGTCTAGCATGCCTGCAACCATTTTCTCTTAATAAAGGATTCCTGTTGGAAGAATTATTCCAAGAGTTTTGTCTTCTTAAGATGCAAAGTGGGGTGGGTCCTTACATTAGACAGGACTTGGGGTTCAAGCTCTTCCATTCAAGGTTTTAAGGGGTTCCCCAGTAGTCCCACCCAATCAACCCCCCTTCCAGTGATAGTTTCAAGTATCACAATTCCACCCCCTTTCTTCTTTCTTCCGTCTGCATGGGGACTTCAGATAACTAAATGAAAGGCAACTACCCTCCTTTGGTATGTTAACGCTTCGAGGTTACAATAAACACACATTCAGCATTCAGCTCTTTGAAGTGTAAAGAAGGAAGTGAGGGCCATAAAGCCCCTTTGGTCTCCCCCTTCTCTCCCTCTTATGGCAGAATCCAGAGAAGGCAGAATTGGGAGTTTCTATATTTGATAATTTAAAGATGAAATATAATTGGATTCTGACAGTTCCATTCTATTCTGTTCTGTTCTATTCTATTCTATTCCATTCAATTCCATTCCATTCCATTCCATTCCATATTTTCTATTCTATTCTATTCTATTCTATTCTATTCTATTCTATTCTATTCTATTCTATTCTATTCTAATTTTCTATTTTCTATATTCCATATTCCAAATTCCATTCTTCATTTTTTTCTTCCTGCTTGGTTTCACAGGTGGCCCCTCCCTCCAGGGGTTTCCCACCAGAGCTGGGGGGGGGTGTTGACACCAGACTTGCTCGCTTGCTCCCTCCTCCCCTTGTTCCCCCCCCATCCCTTTTCTTCTTGGACGGTGCCCTTCCTGCCCCAATGGCCTCGCCCGGGTTGCCCTCTCCACCATTGGCAGCTGCTCAGCCAGGGAGGGGCCACCGAAACACTTCTTAAGAAGCCACTTCATGGCAAGGCGACCACAATCCTGCAGAGAGTAAGAGAGTTGCGCAAGGTTCCACTCGACATCACCACAACCTTGTAAGTTGGAGACCAGGGGTGGGTTCGGGAGAAATGCAGCAAGAAATATCAGTTTCAAATCTGTTGTTTTAATCTGTGCTTTTATTCGGCTGTTTGGATTGCTTGATTGTGCTGTTGCAAAAAGCCCAGAGCTGCGTAGGTGAGTTGGGTGCCCTAGAAATTTATCCCCCCCCCCAAAAAAACACAAATAAAATTGGGAAAGTTGCCCCCTCTCCATTCCTCAAGATGGGGATAAAAAATTCAGAAAGAAGGGGAGACAGTCTTGGTTTGAATTTGGGGGTTCCCCCAAGGCTTGTAAGAAGGCTCCTCCTGAAGGCAGGACAAGAAGCAGCAGATGGAAACTCCTCAAGGAGAGAAGCAACCTGGAATTAAAGAGAAATTCCTTGACGGTGAGGATGCTTAACTTGTGGAACTGCTTGCCACCAGACGTTGTGGCTGCTCCAACACTGGAGACAGCCACCTGTCTGAAATGGTATAGGGAGTCTGTTTGAGCAGGGGGCTGGACTAGAAGACCTCTGAGGTCCCTTCCAACTCTATGATTCTATACGTTTCTCCTGCTTGAGCAAGGGGTTGGACTAGATGACCTCCAAGGTCACTTCCAACTGTATGATTTTATAAAGATCTCCTGCTTGAGCAGGGGTTGGAGTAGATGACCTCTGAGGTCCCTTCCAACTCTGTCATTCTATCATTCTGTAAGGGTCTCCTCCTTGAGCAAGGGGTTGGACTAGATGACCTCCAATTTCCCTTCCAACTCTATGATTCTCTAAGGATCTCCTGCTTGAGCAGGGGTTGGACTAGATGACCTCTGAGGTCCCTTCCAACTCAATGATTTTATAAAGATCTCCTGCTTGAGCAGGGTTTGCAGTAGATGACCTCTGAGGTCCCTTCCAACAATGATTTTATAAAGATCTCCTGCTTGAGCAGGGGTTGGAGTAGATGACCTCTGAGGTCCCTTCCAACTCTGTCATTCTATCATTCTATAAGGGTCTCCTGCTTGAGCAGGGGTTGGACTAGATGACCTCCAAGGTTCCTTCCAACTCTATGATTCTATAAGTTTCTCCTGCTGACCAGGGGTTGGACTAGATGACCTCCAAGGTCCCTTCCAACTCTATGATTCTATAAGTTTCTCCTGCTTGAGCAAGGATTGGACTGGATGACCTCCAAGGTCCCTTCCAACTCTATGATTCTATAAGTTTCTCCTGCCTGAGCAGGGATTGGACTAGATGACCTCCAAGATCCCTTCCAACTCTGTCATTCTATCATTCTATAAGGGTCTCCTGCTTGAGCAGGGGTTGGACTAGATGACCTCCAAGGTTCCTTCCAACTCTATGATTCTATAAGTTTCTCCTGCTGACCAGGGGTTGGACTAGATGACCTCCAAGGTCCCTTCCAACTCTATGATTCTATAAGTTTCTCCTGCTTGAGCAAGGATTGGACTGGATGACCTCCAAGGTCCCTTCCAACTCTATGATTCCATAAGTTTCTCCTGCCTGAGCAGGGATTGGACTAGATGACCTCCAAGGTCCCTTCCAACTCTATGATTTTATAAGGATCTCCTGCTTGAGCAGGGATTGGACTAGATGACCTCAAGGTCCCTTCCAGCTCTATGATTCTGTAAGGGTCTCCTGCCTGAGCAGGCGGTTGGACTAGATGATCTCTGAGGTCCCTTCCTGCTCTGTCATCCCACGATTCCGTCAGGCTCGCCTGCTCAAGTAGAGGGTTGGAGAAGATCTGCACAGTCCCTTCCAAGTCTGTCATTCCATCATTCTGTAAGGGTCTTCTGCTTGAGCAGGAGGTTGGAGAAGATCTCCACGGCCCCTTCCAGGTCTGTTCTCTTCCAAATCCCTTCTAGCCCTGATGATGTTCCCTAGCTGGGTCCGGAAACGTCTTCAAGGAAAGCACCCAACTCAGAGAGCAGGGAGGACCCCACACCTCAACCCTGAGCTAGAACAACGCAGGGTAACGCGTGTGTAAAAAGGACTTTGTAGGCGGTTCTGAGATGGCTGGGGAAGCACCCATTTCTCCCCCCCTTCCCCAAAGAAGGAACGAAAAGATTTGTAAGTGGGGGGGGGGGAAACAGTGCGAAACCTTTAAGCCGGTTTTTCGGGGAGACCCTCATGGGGCCCAACATGCAGATTTCCCTCCCTCCCAAAAAAAGTAGACCGACGTGGATATTCCCTCCTTATTTTGTTCTCTTGTTTTGCACTCCTCTTGCAAATATTTGCAACAGCCGGAGAGTTCCTTCAGCCCCCGTTCGATCACTTATCACTCCTGGGGCGTATCAATAATCACATCTGTGCCCTTTTCACCTGTTTATTAATTAGTTACTAAATACCGGGATGCGAGAATAATCGCAGGAGCTTCCTTAGACGTTCCCAGTAAGAAAACAGGGAATGTAAAGGGACTGATCCACCCGATTTTAGGGCTGGGAGCGACGGTTAATGATAAGAGCTTGGCTGTTGGGGTACTGTGTAAATATAATAAAAGGGGAGCGGAATTAAAGAATCATAGAATCAGAGAGGGACCCTGGAGGTCTTCTAGTCTGACCTCGCTGCTGAAGCAGGAGACCCTTATAGAATGATAGAATGACAGAGTTGGAAGGGGCCGTGGAGATCTTCTCCAGCCCCCTGCTCAAGCAGGAGACCCTTACAGAATGATAGAATGACAGAGTTGGGAGGGACCTCAGAGGTCATCCAGTCTGACCTCCCTGCTGAAACGGGAGGCCCTTATAGAATGATAGAATGACAGAGTTGGAAGGGGCCGTGGAGATCTTCTAGTCCAACCCCTACTCCAACAGGAGATCCTTATAGAATCAGAGAGTTGGAAGGGACCCGGGAGGTCATCTAGTCCAACCCCCTGCTCAAAGAGGAGACCCTGTCCCATTTCAGACAGGGGGCTGTCCAATCTCTCCTTTAAAACCTCCAGGGATGGAGCACCCACAACTTCTGGAGGCAGACTGTTCCATGGGTTAATGGTCCTCCCTGTGTGGCAGTTTCTTCTTAATTCCAGGTTGCCTTCTCTCCTTGAGGAGTTTCCATCCGTCGCTTCCTCTTCTCCTCATTTAGTCGCTTTGTCAAGGAATGAAATAAGATCGGTTTGGCCTGATCTGGTTTTAGCAAACCCGGGCTCGCTTCTAGTTATAACTTTATAACTAGGGGGGGGGAGAAGGGAGGGGGTTGGTGGAGGAGGAGGGGGAAGAGGGAGGGGGAGAAGGAGGGAGGGGGAGGAGAAGGATGGAGGAGGAGGAGGAAGGAGGAGGAAGGACTGTGGGGTCCTTGGTGCTCTCTGAGCTGGGTGGTTTACTTGCAGACATTTCATGACCCAACTAGGGAACATCATCAGTGCTAGAAGGGAGGAGGAGGAGGAGGGGAGGGGGAGAGGGAGTGGGGAGGAGGAGGAGGGGAGGGGGAGAGGGAGGGGGGAGGAGGAGGAGGGGGGGCTTTGTGGTCTCTGATCTGAAAATGTCTGTTTCCTTGCAGACATTTCATGACCCAACTAGGAAACATCATCAGTGATAGAAGGGAATGGAGAAGGGGAGGAGGAGGGAGGGGGAGGAGGAGGGAGGGGGAGGAGGAGGAGGGAGGGGGAGGAGGAGGAGGAGAGGAAGGACTGTGGCGTCCTTGGTGCTCTCTGAGCTGGGTGCTTTCCCTGCAGACATTTCATGACCCAACTAGGGAACGTCGTCAGTGCTGAAGGGAGGAGGATTTCTGGAGAGGAGGATCAGGACTGATGATGTTCCCGAGTTTGGTCATGCAAGAAAGCCACCAAGCTCAGAGAGCACCAAGGACGCCACAGTTGTCGTTCTCCTCCTCCTCCTCCTCCTCCTCCCCCTCCTCTCTAAAATCCCAACTCCCTTCTAGCACTGATGATGTTACCAAGCTGGGTCATGAAACGTCTGTAAGGAAACCACCGAGCTCAGAGAGCACCAAGGACCCCATAATTCTCCTCTTCCTGCACCTCCTCCCCCTTCCTCCACTTCACAAACCCCAGTCCCTTCCCGCACTGATCACGTCACCTAGTTGGGTCATGAAACGTCTTCCAGAAAAGAACCAAACTCAGAGACTCCCTCGTTTCAACCCTCAGCTTACAAAGATTCTCCTTTATTGGTAGGACTTAACTGGATCAACATTTTATTAAGATTCGAGGACAGGGGTGTCAAACTGCCAACCCGCGGGCCGGATGCGTCATCTGGAAGCCGCGCCCACCACATTGCCGGCACTGGCAAACCCGTCCCGATACGTTGCGCGACGTCACGTGACGTCGCGAGTTTAACATGTCTGTTCTCGGTGGAGTTTACACGCAACTGTGGCTTCTCCTTGTTTTATCTTTCCTCAGGAGTCAGCATGAAGACCCCGACCATCCAGACGGTCCAGGTCTTGTGTCTGATTGGATTCTTCGTAGGACCTTTGCAGGTACAAAGGGAGCAGCTTCAGCCGGGGGAGCGTCCACCTCTTCAAATGGGGAGGGTTTGCCCGACAGGCAGGTGGCAGTCCTCCCCTCTCCGCTTGACGAAAAAAACCACCACTTCCTGCTGTTAAAATCTTGGTTGTGACTTTCTTTTTCCTTGAAGATGTCTCGCTTCTCATCAGAGAAGCTCCTTCGGTTCTGACCGAATGGTGGGGGGTGGAAGGATTGTATTCCCGGCAGTCCTCTGGTCCTTAGTGCTCTTTCTGAGAGTCGTTGAGGCCATTTGAGGGTTTATCTGTAACTTCAGGGTCACCTCAATAGTGCAAATGGGTGTGGAGCCTTCTTAGAACTGCTGAAAGGACCGTGTTGTAGACAGGAGATGGGTGGTCTCACATCCCTCCCCCTCTGTCGAGAGGGGGCCGTTCAATCTTAATGTAGATGGCCTCTTTAACCCTCCTTCGAACCCATGGTCCTCTCTGTGCTCAGAATACGACTTTTGTCATCTTCAAAAGAGTGAGATTTGTCCGTGAAATGAAGGCGGACGGTTGAATTTTGTCCTGATATCTTTGTTCTTCTGTGTGGCGCCGTGCGTTTGTGAAGTGGTTGTTTTGAGTCTCCACTGTACGGATCTGTGTCTCATCGCATCATACCGCATATATCACATTCCTCGGTTTGTGTCCCAGGGGTTTTATCCTTGAGGCGGACAAGTTCCGCCTTAGTGTAGTTTGGGGTTGAAAGTGTCTGTCTTGAAAACCCTCTCGAGCTTTTCAGGTATCCCTGCAACATGTGGAAGGACAACATTGCTTCGTTTGTTATGGTCAACCTCATGATTATGGCCGACATTGTAATTCTGTATGTTGCAGGACTATCTGAAAAGCTCAGGGGGATTGGGAGCACTTGGGGGAACGTAAACAATTTCGTTTGAGACCCGAGCATCACAAGATGGGGCGAGCTCCCGTCCTCGTCTCAGCTCCTCATAACCTAGCAGTTTGAAAACACGCAAATGCGAGTAGATAAATAGGTACCACTTTGGTGGGAATGCGACAGCGCTCCGTGACTTCATGACCACGGAAATGTCTTCGGACACCATGGGCTCAATGGCCTAGAAATGGAGATGAGCAGCGCCCCCTAGAGTTGATAACGAAGAGCGGAGTAAAATCCACAGGGACTCCGTCCTCCCTCTGCTCTTTTGGGGGTTGAAGAAGGCACCTGGGCCAGCCCGGTTTCACCCAGCATTGGCCTCTTTTCTCTCCTTTGTGTCCTTCCCCACCTTCTCTTTTACCGCACAGGTGTCGTGTCTCAAAAAGATTCCCCTCGACATGTCCAAGCATTGCGTGGATGACCAGTATATTAACTGCTATTACAAGAAGGAGTTCAAGGTGCAGATGCCAGGATACATTCCCGTCCCGATGAAATATATGTTGATCTGGAATGCGGCTAGATGGCACTGGGCCAAACTTGGACCAAGTGTGGCCAACATCAATCCCATCTACGGCACTGCAGTTGTGGCTTACACAATCGGTGGAGACCTGTACCGTGATTTCACCGACGCCGTCCGCACTGCCGGGAAATCCAAATATTCTTACACTCATTTTCCTTTCAAGGACTACTTCTTCCTCCTAACCAGGTTTGTTCAGGCTAGGAAAATCATAGGCAAATGCTATGAGGTCTTCCGCGGGGTAAATGGGATCCATTTCAAAGTCCACTCGAAACAGTTTGTCCGCTTCGGGCAGTTCGCTTCCTCGTCTTTGGTCAAAGAGCAGGCCCAAAACTTTGGCCAGGACACCTTCTTCTCCATCAAGACCTGTCACGGAGTGCCCATTTATGACCTCTCGTACTACCCGCACCAAATGGAAGTTCTCATCCCGCCGTACGAGACGTTCGTTGTGACCCACCACCAGAAGACCCTAAAGGGGGTCGCCATCAGATTGGAGTCCTACGGTGTTTCCAGCCGGTTCAACTGTGAGGCCCTGAGCGGTAAGAGGCTGGAAGAGTGGAGAACATGGGGATCAGAGCATAGCTCCCCAACTGTTCTGGGTTGGGAAGGAGTGGGAGGGAAAGGGGATGGTTGCATGGGAGGTGCAAGTATATGCACGGACAGTCACGCATGAGCACCCATTGCTCGTGTGACTGGAGCCGAGAGTAGCCATGGCGTTCACGCTAGTGAGGCCCCAAGTACTCACATGAGTGGGGTTGCAAGCACCCACAACACTCACAAGAGTAAGCCCCCCCTCACGTGAGGTCCCAAGCACCTGTGACACTCATGCGAGTGGGACCCCAAGTGCCATGACACTCACGTGAGTGGCGTCAGGAACACACATGATGCTTGAACAAGTATTGCTATGAGCATCTGCGAGGCTTACATGAGTGGGGCTTTAGATCAGTGGTTCTCAACCTGTGGGTCGGGACCCCATTTGGGGTCGAACGATCATTTCACAGGGGTCGCCAAACAATGCAGTCCGCCATTTTTTTCCCCTTTTCCTTAGCTGTGCTGCTCCCTTTTATTCTATTGGCTTTCGAAAGCCAATAGGAATTGTCCAGGCTGTCTCTGCCCTGCTGAGCCCGCCAAAAGTCCCATTCTGCAAATGGTGCTGCACCAGTTGAGTAGTCCTCGACTTACGACCGGTTGAGTAGTCCTTGACATACGACCAGTTGGGGGTCGTGGCATTAAAAAGGTTGAGAACCACTGCTTTAGAGGCACACATGCGCATGCCAGTCACTCATGTGGCCCACTTGTGAATAGGTTATGGACCTGTAGTGGGCTGCACCCCACAGTTTTAGGACCCCTGGTTCAAATGACCCCGATAGCACCTCGGCCATTATCTGGGGCTGCTGGAAAACCAAGATAGTTTCAGACATGGACCAAATGTCTATGATGCTCAGTCATCCAGGTTGTGATTGTTCTTGATGCAGCCATGCTGCATTTTTCTTAGTTTTCTCATTTTTCTTTTTTTAGTGGTATCGAACGAAAGTATTCAGGTCACAGACGAGGCGTCTCTACTAAGGATAAAAATGAATGAATAAATAAAAGGAATAAAAATTTCACTTGCTGCCACTTTAACCTTGCCGCCCCTAACCCCATTTTTGTCTCTACGGGTGCAGGTTACTAAACTCCAACGGGGAGGCTGTTCCTTCTGTGGGGTCTCCTTCGGACCTGGAGCACGCTTGGGCCTCCAAGAAGCCTTGGAAAACCTGGCTATCGAGGAAGAAGGCGTCCCTAGGAAGGAGTGCGACACACAAAAAAGCCATTTATTCGGGAAGGGTGCAGTCTTTCTCTTGGGTGCAAGGATCAGGGATTTGGTATATATATGATATGGGATGGCTGTATCGGAAATCAACAAATCTAGCAATAAAAATCTTTGGTATGCAATGAAAGCTTTGTTTTGTTACATGGGACAAAAGTCACACGCACACAAACACACACACACAAACACACAGAGACTCACTGCAGGTTGCATTTGCTCCTTTGCTAGCCAGGTTTGCATCTTTTGGGACACTTTACAGTTTTAACTGGGGAATTCTGAAGGCAGCCCTATTGTTTGGTTGATGAAAAGGCTAGTTTGGGCCCATTGAAAGAAATGACTCTGACTCAAAGGGGGGGAAATAATGTAAACAGAACCCACACCCCAGAATAAAATATTTCCCGGGCCGACTATATAAAGGACTGAAACTGATTACACAGCCTAGGACTGAATTACAAAAATAAAAACACCTATAATTACATTTCCCTTTGCCCCAAGGATCAGCGACAAGAGCGACAACATCGTACACAACAAAAGGAAAACCTGTAACAGCAATTAGAGTATTGTGTACAGCCCAAAGAACACTGAAAGAACACATATTCACATAGCGATAACAAAGAACTCAGAAACATAAAAATTCACTCAAAAATAAACAAATAAATAAATTCGCTAGCTGCCCCCAAGAGCACCCCTGTTGCTGTTAATGGGAAATAAACAGAACCTCCATTTCATAAGCAGCTTTCCTTGGGTCTTGATTTTCACTTACCGCGGCTACTCCCAGTTATGGAGAAAGAACAGACCCAAACGGATTAGCTTGACAATTTGGCGACCACAAAGGGACTCCAAAGTTAATCTGATCAATCTGGCCTGGGTAGGCCTTCACTATGCTGGCACTATGCTGGCCACAGATCCCTTTTCTCTGCAGGTGGGTTTTCTGCACCTTGCCCATTTGGAGAAAAGGTAGTAAAGGGAATTTTGAGTCTTGTGCTCAACAGTCACTGGGAAAGGAGGTAAGTACATCCAAATTTTGATATTCTACACCCAGGGAAGTGAGAGGGGTGTGCGTGTGTCAAATGGATGTTTTTGCATTGACAACAGAGGAAAATGTAGCCATCTTTTACTTTTTGCTTTTAGAGTTAGATGAAGCTGCGAAGGGGGATGAGAACGAGAGTCTAGCTAGACATAACAACACCAAACCTAGCATGAGATTATTGTAACCGGAGCTGATAAGGAATTGGCGGGCCGGAGAACTGGAGAGGAGGCCGACGCTTCACGCTGATTGGGGAATGTGATTTATGACTGTTAATTGAAGGAGGGAATTGTTCTTGGATACTATGTGCTCAGGCGAGGGGAATTCAGTTTTCAGCTTCGATTATGCCGTGCCGATATTATGCTACCGTAAATGCTGGCGTATAAGACGACTTCCGCGAGCTCTGAAATCGGCAGCAAAGACGGTGGTCGTCTTATACGCCGAGTCGTCTTATACGCCGGAAATACTGGTAGTTTCCGGCGTATAAGACAACGTTCTAGGAATGCGGCCCGGCTATAAAGACGGGGTCATCTTATACGCCGGGTCGCCTAATACGGCGGCATATACGGTACTCAAAATAAAGATTCTTTAAGGTAAACAATGCCTCAAAGTTCTTTTGAAGAGTTTCATTTGTCAGAACCATGACAGTGTGTGTGTGTGTGTGTGTGTGTGTGTGTGTGTGTGTGTGAGAGAGAGAGAGAGAGAGAGAGAGAGAGAGAGAGAGAGAGAAATCCTGTTCTTCTCACCGCAGCTGGATCCTGTTTCTGCGATAGAACCAACTCTCTCAAAAATTGTTTCTTGATCTTCAAAAGAAGGCGTAGGCTAAAAGGCTAATACTAAAACCTAATTAAACCACTGGTTAATTGTCCTCCCTGTTAGGAAGTTTCTCCTTAGTTCCAGGTTGCTTCTCTCCTCGGTCATTTACCACCCATTGTTTCTTGTCCTGCCTTCTGGTGCTTTGGAGAATATGTTGACCCCGCCTCTTCTTTGGGGCAGCCCTCAGACAGTGGTGGGATTCAGCCGGTTCACACTGGTTTGGCAGAAGCGATACCTAATATTTTTTGTTGAGTCTGGCAAACCGGTTATGATAAACTGGATGAATGAATAATAAGAAAGTCCCACAAGGACACAGATAAGCCTCCAGGTGGCCGCAATGCCTCTCTAAAAGAAGGCAAAATGACCAGCTGTCTGCAAGGAGTATAAATCCTTCCATTGTCCACCATCTGTTCTGTTCTATTCCATTCCATTCCATTCCATTCCATATTTTCTGTTTTGCTCTGCTCCTCTCCGTTCTGTTTTGTTCGATTCCATTCCATATTTTCTATTCTATTCTATTCTATTCCTATTCTATTCTATTCTCCATTCCATTCAATATTCTATTCTATTCTATTCTATTCTATTTTATTCTATTTTCTATTCTATTCTATTCTATTTTCTATTCTATTCTATTCTATTCTCCATTCCATTCAATATTCTATTCTATTCTATTCTATTCTATTCTCCATTCCATTCAATTTTCTATTCTATTCTATTCTATTCTATTCTATTCTATTCTATTCTATTCTATTCTATTCCATTCCATTCCATTCCATTCCATATTTTCTATTCTGCTCTGTTCTGCTCTGCTCCACTCCGTTCCATTCTATTCCATTCCATATTTTCTATTCTATTCTATTCTGTTCTGTTCTGTTCTATTCTATTCTATTCTATTCTATTCTATTCTATTCTATTCTATTCTATTCTATTCTATTCCTTTTCTATTCTATTCCAGTATTCCAATATCTCAGGGGCTGCCATAAAGAAGAGGGAATTAAGCTATTTTCCAAAGCACCTGAAGGCAGGACAAGAAGCAACGGGTGGAAACTAATCAAGGAGAGAAGCAACCTAGAACTAAGGAGAAACTTCCTGACAGTGAGAACAATTAATCAGTGGAACAGCCTGCCTCCAGAAGCGTAAATGCTCCAACCCTGGAAGTTTTTAAGAAGAGACTGGACAGCCATTTGTCCGAAATGGTGTAGGGTTTCCTGCCCAAGCAGGGGGTTGGACTAGATGACCTCCAAGGTCCCTTCCAACTTTACTATTATTATTATTATTATCAATCATCGCACAGTCAGCCAGATGTTCAGACTGGATTTGGCATTTTGTCTACCTATCGAGTCCTTACCCAGGACCTGGGATAGGCAGATGTGGATGTTTGATGGTATTACAGATATCGTCGCAGGATGGAAGCAGTTCCTAGTAAGGCCGCCTTTTGCAATTGACTAATAGCGAATTTGTCAATGCCAATGGTGTTCAAGTGGTGCTCCAGTTGTTTTGGGATTGCACCCAAGGAGCCTATGACTATTGGTACTACCCTTGCTTGCTTTTGCCACAGTCTTTCTATTTCTATTTGTAGGTCTTTGTATTTTGTTATCTTCTCCAGTTCTTTCTCTTCTATTCTGCTATCTCCAGGCACTGCCACGTCCACTACCAGACTTTTTTGTCTTTCTTATCGACAATTGTTAAGTCTGGGGTGTTATGTTGCAGGTGCTTGTCTGTTTGCATTCTGAAGTCCCAGAGCAGTTTAATTTTATCATTTTCTATGACTTTCTCTATTTTATGATCCCACCAGTTTTTGCTTACAGGCAAATGATATTTTTTGCAGATCTTCCAATGCACCATTGTTGCTACTTTGTCATGCCGCTGCTTGTAGTCAGTCTGTGCAATCTTCTTGCAACAGCTTACAATTAGTCCCTCGGTCTCTTTCTTCAATTTTCCTGCTCTTAGCCATTGCCAGGTCTTGTTAATATCTGCTTTCCCAGCTATTTTTTTTAATGTATTGGCCATGTAGTGCTTTGTCTTCCCATGCCTCTATTCTGTTTTTCATTTGGTCTTTCTTGTAGGCCAGTTTGGTCTCTCCAGTAGTCAGTAAGCCTTCCTGATATACTAATTTCAGTGTATCTTCATCATTGTTCTTCAGATATTCTTCCAAAGCCATTATTTCTTCTTCCACCATCTGATGTACTTGTAGCATTCCACGCCCACCTATTTGCCTTGGTAGATAAAGTCTGTCAATGTCACTGCGTGGATGAAGGGCATGATTCATTGTCATTATTTTTCTGGTCTCCTATCCATTGCTTTTAGTTCTGCTTGAGTCCAGTCCACTATTCCAGCTGTGTACCTAATGACTGGGATTGCCCAGGTGTTGATTGCCTTTATGGTATTTCCTCCAATTATTATTATTATTATTATTATTATTATTATCGATCATCGCACAGTCAGCCAGATGTTCAGACTGGATTTGGCATTTTGTCTACCTATCGAGTCCTTACCCAGGACCTGGGATAGGCAGATGTGGATGTTTGATGGTATTACAGGTATCGTCGCAGGATGGAAGCAGTTCCTAATAAGGCCGCCTTTTGCAATTGACTAATAGCGAATTTGTCAATGCCAATGGTGTTCAAGTGGTGCTCCAGTTGTTTTGGGATTGCACCCAAGGAGCCTATGACTATTGGTACTACCCTTGCTCATAGGCTCCTTGGGCGCAATCCCAAAACAACTGGAGCACCACTTGAACACCATTGGCATTGACAAATTTGCTATTATTATTATTATTATTATTATTATTATTATTATTATTATTATTATATTCTATTCCTTTTCTATTCTATTCTGTTCTGTTCTATTCTATTCTATTCTATTCCTTTTCTTTTCGATTCGATTCGATTCGATTCCTATTCTATTCTATTCTATTCTGTCACTTTCTGTGTGTGCATTCCTCCCAAACCCACCCAGGTCTCCAACTTACAAGGTGGTGGTGATGTCGAGTTGAATCTTGTGTTACTCCCTGGAGCTGTGGAGAACTACAGTCCACTCGCACACTGTTCAGAGGTGTTCCGGTGGATCCTCCCTTGCTGAGTGGCTGCCAAGGTTTGAGAGGGCAACCAGGGCGATGCCACTGGGTCAGCGTACGCACCATCAAAGGAGAGAGCTGATGGGGGACAACAGGAAAATGGAGCAAGCAAGCAATTCTGGTGGTCTCCCTCCAACTGTGGTGGGAAGCCCCTGGGCTCTGGGAGGGAGGGACCACAAGAGAAGAGCCATATTATAACAGAATTCCAAAAAACAAAAAAAAACCCAGAATATCAGAGTTGGAAATGTCCTTGGAGGTCATCTAGTCCAACCCTCTGCTGAGACAGGAAAGCCTATCCCATTTTTGAAAAAACTGCTCTCTAAAGCGGGGGTGTCAAACGGCCGGCCTGTGGGCCGGTTGTATCGTACAGCGGCCACGCCCACCCCAGCTCCAGCCATGCAAACAAAAGTCGCGATACATCGCGACACGTCACGTGACGTGGTGAGTCTGACACCCATGATCTAAAGCAGGGGTGTCAAACTCTCAAGGTCATGTGATGTGTCCCACTATAGCGTGACTTTTTTGCCATTACCGGCAATGGGGTGGGCGCCGTTTCGCTACAATGCATCCGACCCATGGGCCGGCAGTTTGACACCCCTGATCTAAAGGGTGACATGATAGCAGTCTTTCAGTACTTGTGGGTCTACCCCAGGGAGAAGGGGGTCAACTTTTTTCCCAAAGCACCTGAAGACAGGGAAAGAAGCAATGGATAGAAACTAACCAAGGAGAGAAGCAACCTGGAACTAAGGAGAAACTTCCTAACAGTGAGGATGATTAGCCAGTGGAACTGCTTGCCACCAGATGTTGTGAGTACTCCATCACCGGAGGTTTTCAACAAGAGACTGGACAGCCATTTGTCCAGAATGGTGTAGGACAGACATGTCAAACTCGTGACATCACGTGATGTCACACAATGTATTGAAGCTTTTTCCCCATTGCCGGCAATGGGGTGGGTGTGGCTTCATCATGACGTCTCCGGCCCGCGGGCTGGCAGTTTGACACACCTGGTATAGGATCTCTCGCTTTTGCATGGGGGGTTGGACTAGAAGACCTCAAAGGTCCCTTCCAACTCTGTTATTCTTATTCAGAATGGTATAGAGTCTCCTGCATGATCAGGGGATCGGACTAGAGCTTCATTGTTTCTTCCGACTCTGTTATTCTTTTAAAGATCCCGACTCAGGATCCAGCTTTCTGGGTCTCGCTTTTCTTTGAAGAAGAACGTTCCAATCAACAAATGTAACAGCCCTCCCCCATTCAGATCTGATTCATATTTAGGAAGGTGTCCCATCTTGCAGTTAAAGCACCTCAGCCACCAATCTCCCTCCTCCATTGCAGAAACTCACACAGGGCCCGGGCACAGCTATGGGTATTGATTTATCCAGAGGGAGCTCCAATCTGAATCTCTTCTTTCCCTGGGATCGCCCTCTCCAGTCATACACACACACACACACACACACACACACACCTGTTCCATTCCCCTTTCTCGGCTGAGGATGTTGGGGGAATCAAACGTGAGTGTGACATCAAATTTTAGGCTTTATTATTAGCTTTTTAGATTGGCACCCATGCACCTTTTGTATCTTTGCAGTCCCTTCGTGGTCGCCAAATTGCCAAACGAACCAGTTCAGATCCGTTCTTTCTTCGAAGTCGGGAGAGAAGCGATGAGCGAAAATCAAGACACGAGGCAAACTGATTATGGAAAGGAAGTTCTGTTTATTTCCTAATAACAGCAACAGGGGTGGTCTTGGGGGCAGCAAGCAAATTGGGTTTGTTGGTGAGTGAATGTTTATGCTTCTGAGTTCTTTGTTATCGACATGTAAATTTGTGTTCTTTCCATGTTCTTTGAGATAATACTCCATTATAGGTTTTCCTTTTGTTGTGTATGATGTTGTGGCTGATCCTTGGGGCTAAGGGAAATGAAAGTATAAGTGTGTGTTTTTTTTCTAATTTAGCCCTAACCTACGTAATCAGTTTAAGTTCTTTTATCTAGTCAGCCTGTGTTTTCAGAGATTGCTTTGTTATGCAATGTTTTCTGAATGGGACTCCAGTTTTATGAATGGGCAACATTCTTTTGAATGAAACATTGTTTCTCTAACTCAGTGGTTCTCAACCTTTCTAATGCCGTGACCCCATAATACAGTTCCCCATGTTGTGGTGACCCCCAAGTAGGTGTGGCCACCAATAAGAGGGAGTAGGACAGCTAGGGAAAAGGGGAAAAAATGGCGGACAGCATGGTTTGGCGACCCCCGTGAAATGGTCGTTCGACCCCAAATGGGGTCCTGACCCACAGGTTGAGAGCCACTGCTCTAACTACACCTGTGGGCTGTCTTGGTGGAGGAAAGACAGGTGATGTTTTTTCTGCCTATTCTTATCTTTTCTTCTCTTTTGGGAAATCATCCTTGGGGAAATATTTTGTTTTGGGGAGGAGGTTCCCTTCACACTAATTTTTTTTTCTCCTTTGAGTCAGAGCCATTTCTTTCAATGGGCCCAAACTAGCCTTTTCATTAACCAAACCGTTGGGCTGCCTTCCAAACTCCCTGCTTAAAGCTGCAAAGCGCCCAGAATAATCACCTTTTTGGAGTTGCCTGAAATTCTTGCAATTCATCTTGTCAGCGGGGCAAAAAAAAAAAAAGGCCACTTTCTTGCAAAGATATTTTGCGTGTCACACTTGGTCTCCTTTCTAGGGACACTCTCTCCGTAGATGACCAAGCTGTCAGAGGCTTCCTAGAGACCCAAGGATGCTCCAGGTTAGAAGGAGAACCCACAGAAGGAAGGACATCCCCATCGGAGTTAAGAGGCCTGCAGCTGTGGAAACAAAAAGGGGGTGAGGGGCAGAGAGGTTAGCGTGGCAGCGAGTGAAATATTTATTCATTTGGGGCAGCCGCCATGGACGCTGGTAGGCGAGCTCCATCTTCTGCATTCGGTTTCGCTCTGCTGGGGTCCCTGGAAAGGGTAAAAAGTCGCCCTGTAGGGGCGACGAGCAAGGAGATCCACCTGGAACTGAGGTAGTTCTGCAGCAGCGTCAGGTATGGCCAAGAATCTCCCTGGGACCCCTGAACCCCAAAGTTCTCCTTTCTTCCCGCCTCTTACCATTCAGGACTTCACAGTTGCAGCGGCTGAATACACCCCGGGACTCTAGCCTGACGAAGACCCCCTTTGTGGTCTCCTGGGAGATCACGGTGAATGTCTCATAGGGCGGGATGAGAACTTCCTTTTGATCCTTGTGGTATGAGAAGTCGTAAATGGGCACGCCGTAGCAGGTCTTGATGGAGAAGAGGGTGTCCTCGCCAAATGTTTGGGCCACCTTTTTGTCCAACGAGGAGGAAGCGAACTGTCCGAAGCGAACCACCTCGTCGGAGACCGTGAAACGGATCCCTTTTATCCCGCGGAAGACCTCATAGCATCTGTCCTCGGTCCTCTTGGCCTGGAGAGCCTTGGTCAGGAGAAAGAAGAAGTGCTTGAAGGCAAATTGGTCGTAAGAAGTTTGGGATTTCCCAGCTTCTCGTACGGCGGTGTTGAAATCTCTGTACAGGTCGTCTCCAATTGTGTAGGCCACAATCGCCGTGCCATAAATGGGATCGAAGCTGCCGACCGTTTGGCCAAGGCTGTCCCAGTGGCTTCTGGCCATTTCCCAGGTCTTACTATACTTTCCCTCCAAAGGGATAGTTCCCGACTTCTGCCCCGTGAAGCTGCAGTCAATATACTGGTCGTCCACAGAGTCGTAGAACATGGTGAGGGATATCTCTGACAGACACAACACCTGTCCGGGAAAAGAGACGGTGAGGAAGGACACGAGGGAAAGAAAAGAGTCCAACAGGGGGTGACGCCAACCTGAACTCGGTTGTCTTTTTCAGCCCCCGAAGGAGCATGCGGGGGAAGGTAGAGTAAAGGGGTTCCTGCTGGTTTAGTCCTGTCCGACACTTGGGGCAGGTGTTGCTCTCTGTTTCGTTGAACGAGCATCATCCGAAGATGTTTCTTTGGTTACGTGGGCCGGTCTGACATCACGGAGCGCTGCTACCTTCCCATCTGAGTGGTACCTATTTATCTACTCGTCTTGACAGGGATTCGGACTGCTAAGTTGGCAGGAGCTGAGGTGAGGATGGGAGCTCGCCCCATCTTGTGCTGCTTGGTTTTCGAGCCCGGGCTGCCGGTTTTCGAGCCGACAAGCCCAGCCTCTTAACCTCTGAGCCTGGGCACGTGGAAAAAGAGCCAGAAGAAAATCATGATTGGGACCCCTGGTGGCGCAGTGCTTAGAATGCAGCATTGCAGGTCAACTCTGCCTGCTGCCAGCAGTTCGATGCTGATGGGCTCAAGGTTGACACAGCCTTCCGTCCTTCCGAGGTTGGTAAAATGAGGACCCAGATGGTTGGGGGCCATAGGCTGACTCCTTCCTTCCTTTCTTCCTTCCTTCCTTCCTTCCTTCCTTCCTTCCTTCCTTCTTTCCTTCCTTCCTTCCTCCTTCCTATCTCCTTCCTTCCTTCCTTCCTTCCTTCCTTCCTTTCTTTCTTTCTTTCTCTTTCCTCCCTTCCTCCTTTCTCTTTTCTTTTTTCTTTCTCTCCCTTCTCTCTCTCTCTCTGTTTCTTTCTTTTTTCTTCCTCCCTTCCTCCTTTCCTTCCTATCTTCTTTCTTTTTCTTTCTTTATTTCTTTCTTTTTCTCTTTCCTTCCTTCCTACTTTTTGATTTTTTTCTGTCCCTCCTCTCTCTCTCTTTTTCTCTTCCTTCCTTCCTTCCTTCCTTCCTCCTTCCCTTCCTCCCTCCCTCCCTCCTTTCCTTCCTATCTCCTTTCTTTTCTTTCTTTCTTTCTTTCTCTTTCCTTCCTTCCTGCTTTCTCTTTTCTTTCTCTCCCTCTTTCTTTCTTTCTTCCTCCCTCCCTCCTTTCCTTCCTATCTTCTTTCTTTCTTTTTCTTTCTTTTTTCTTTCTTTTTTCTCTTTTCTTCCTTCCTACTTTCTGTTTTTCTTCCTTTCTTTCTTTCTTTCTTTCTTCCTTCCTCCTTCCCTCTCTCCCCAAATATATATATATATTTGGCTCTCTCAATGTCTTCTCCACATTTTATATGTCTTCACAATATTCCTTTTTTAAAAAAAGGTTTTTAAAATATTTTTATAATGATGGTTCCTATGGGTCTGTGGCTTTATTGGATTGTTTACAGGCCACAAAGGGATGCTTTTAGTGGGATGGGGATTGCCAGCATCCCAGAAGAAGACCCTTACAGAATCACAGAATAACTGAGTTGGAAGGGACCTTGGAGGTCATCTAGTCCGACCCCCTACTCAAGCAGAAGATCCTGACAGAATCATAAAATGACAAGAGTTGGAAGGGACCTCGGAGGTCCTCTAGTTTGACCCCCTGCTCAAGCAAGAGACCCTTATAGAATCACAGAAGAGCAGAGTTGGAAGGGACCTTGGAGGTCATCTACTCTGACCCCCTTCTTGAGCAGAAGACCCTGACAGAATCAGAATAACAAGAGTTGGAAGGGACCTCAGAGGTCATTTAGTCCACCCCTTCTGGAGCAGGAGACCCTGACAGAATCGCAGAGTCGGAAGGGACCTCAGAGGTCATCTAGCCCCACCCCCTACTCAAGCAGGAGACTCTTAACAGAATCACAGAATGAGTTGGGAGGG